AGATTGTATGTGTGGCAGAGGTAAAAATGTAAAGAATCCGCAAAGACACACCTAAACTCAAAATAAGTAATTGGCTTACTTTAAAAAACATTATTTCACAAGATTGAATTTTTTTTATGCGATCTCAACACAATCGCATAAAAATCCAGAATGTTCTGTGCATCTTTCGTAATTTTCATTAACTACGGGGTTTGGTAACAGGCCCGAAAATCCCATGGCCGAATTTATTTATTTATTTATTTATACTTGATATTTCCTAGCTCAATATACATTAACAAAAAGAAACTAAAGAGACACATTGAAAACTTAAACTTAGCATCAATTGGCCTAAGTAAGCTCAGAGAACAATCGATGACTTATAGCAATTTATGACAGAAGTCATTATAAATATATATTATAATTTATTATATTTATCACCTTCGGATTTCTTTATGTGGGGTCATTTAAAAAGCAAAATCTCCGCTACTCAGCCAACATCATTAGCAGACCTGCGACAAAGAATTGTAAATGAGTGCCTTCAAATTACTCCTCAAATATTGCAAAATGTGCGGCAACGTTTTAAGCAAAATCTTTATTATTTCCTGGAGAGTCATGGTGGCCATTTTCAACATTTACTTGCCTAACGGGTCAGTTCATTCTTCATTTTTAAATTACTTTGCTGCCAAATGTATTGATCTCCACCTTTAAATTTAAGATTTTGGGGGTGGTGTCACCCCCGCTTAGGGGGCTGCACGTGCTAACGTGATTTTTGGAGAAACTTGTGTCCCCCTCGAAAACAAAATCGACGGGTCTGAGCGTTTTTCCAAAAAAAATAACCCCTTTTCTAAATTCTGATGAATCTTTTCGACATTATATCGTATAACAAAGCCGTTTTCATCTCAAGAGATCGAACATTATTTCGCAATTTTTCCATTTACTGGTCATTTTTGTTGGCCTGAAATTCTCTCAGTCCATCTCTGCTTTCTGATAGAAGTACAAAGGCACAGCATATTCATTATCGCGAATTCCATTAAAGTGAAAATAGTGCGTCTAACAAACGATTAAAATCCAATAATATGAAATGCGTACCGATATCCACGTACGATAGCGGTGGGAAAGCTAAAAAAATTAAAACGCTCGACTCTAACCCAGATCTGAAGACATTTATCATAATAAATGCCGAGACCATATACTCTCCGATGGCGATGGTGCTAACCGCACTCTTTTTTATAATTGCTAGATAATTATTTGTCATTTGTTAAGTTTATGGTGCGAGACATTATATATGGTCTGTGGACGAATTATTATTTGCGGCACAGGCGACGGAAATTTTTTTCTGACAGGACACAACTAATAGTGTCCTTTCCCGCAAGAAAAAATGTTCCAAGTACCTAAGGACTTAATTATGAAGTCCTGAGCAAATTTTGACACTCAAAACGCGGTGAATGAAAGGTGTAATACTTTTACTTCCCACACCACTGGCGCGTTCTGCAATTGCACAAAAAATCGAAAACAAAATAGTATGTTTCACGAAATGTGCAACATGAAAAAAAATGGCGTCAAATAGGTTGACTCTGTACTTCCTACATCACGCTGTCATCAGTTAATAAAAGATTATGTTCGGAACAAGCTGGCTGCTCTGAAAAAAAAGTTAGCGACGCGCATGTATAACAAAAAATAAACGGATGAAGTTAGTCGAACAGACTCATACGACTAAAATTTGCATAGTTAGCATGTTTTTTTGTGAAATTTTGAAAAAGTATTCTCTCCCTCGCTCTACAAAAAGTTTTGGAGGCAGTTAGGGTTTCACACAGAAGTCTCTTGTCGATGAATGGCCCTCTCCCTTCCCCTGATAAAAATTCCTGCGAGCGCATATACAGGTTTATGAAGCAAACTAACATTAGTTTTTTAAGTAGATTCACACCCTGAAATATTCGCATATCATTAAGGAATACCCTGTATAATTCAGGCATAGATGACGATCGGTTCACATCCAGTCGAGCAGCGGAGGCCGACTGCTATACACACACACGTGGTCTGTAAATTAAATGACGGGTTAATTTTTTTATTTTTTTTTATAAAAATATAATTATAATTTTATGTTGTCGTCCTCAAAATAAAGTTCTTCTCGATAGATATTTTTATTATTGTTCCAATTTAGTTCATCATTATGAGGTACATTTTATGTATCTACCTACCTTCAAGGCCATTTTCCTGCCAACCCCTGTAGATGCAAGGTTACCAAGACCACCATCAATCTAACCGCAACAGTCTCTAATTGTTTTTCTTTTACTTTCGTTGGCGGCGGTGAGGCAGTTAAAAAAGGGAAAGTAGTGGATATATTACTACAGTATTCGTTGTACCTCTATTAGCATTACTTTTACTATGCGAAACAATGTCCTGCTCCGTGGCGTTTTTCACTTGTTTCAACAATTTCTTGCTCCTTTTGCTTGCCTGTTGTTTCCGCATGTAGGAGCAACAAGTTCTATGTTATTTATCTTTCGATATATTTTCTCTGCATTTTAACATTGAATAAGCAAGTTAGTGGAGCAGGAACGGTCGATATTCATGTGGACAATCAACCATTATGAAATGAAAGTTCAAAAGAAAAACTAACACCCTGCTGAAGAAAATAATAAGAATACACTTAGATATAGGGTGGCGCATCGAAAACGAAACAGACGCATTTACTGGCGTCTCAGTTTTTTTCGGAAAAACGCTCAGAGCCGTCGATTTTGTTTTCGAGGGGGACACAAGTCTGGCAAAAAATCACATTAACACGGACAGCCCCCTGGGCGGGGGTGACACCAACCCTAAAATCTTAAACGGAAAGTGGGATCGAGTGATACCTTATTTTGAAGGTCTTTCAATTCCCTGTATAGTGATGTAAAATACATGAGTTTCAGTTCAGTAGTTTTGAAGATTTATTGATTTAAAGCTTAAAGTAGACTTTAATAGGTACATCAGATTAGTTTGTACTACCTTCAGAAGAAATTTGACTAAAAGAATTTACTTAATAAGTAAATGCTTTTTTCTTCACTACGCCCATGGTTTGCTTATCATTTTGTTGTTGAAAATAGCTATTGGAGCGTTTTTTGTGGCAAAAAAGTTATTTCTTGAAGAAAGATAAGGAAATATCTCGTACTTATTTTAAATAGGAATTTAGTACATAGTTTGCGATTGACTTGACCAAACTTTGTTGCTAAAATAACTTGTAACGCTTTATTACATAAATTAACCATGGTATATTCCACAGCAGAAAGAGTTGAAATTATCGAAATATTTTTCGGAAATAATCAGTGCGCTAATATAACGACAGAAATATTTAATGAGCGACATGAGAACAGTAACGTGCATCGAAAATATGTTCTAGAACTTGTAGCTAAATTTCGGGAAACTGGTTCAGTCGCCAATAAAAACGCAACATTGAAAATACCATAAGGATCGAAGCAATAGAAGTGGGGGTTTTAGGGCAAGTTTATGTAGATCCTACGTTAAGTACCCACAAATTGGAGACTGTGTGTGGTGTTAGTCGACGTACTGTCCAAGGATTCTAAAGACCCATAGTTTTCTTCCGTATAAAATTCACCTGGTACAAGAACTTGATGAAGACGATTTTGATCGACGATTACAATTTTGTGAAGATATGAGTGAACCAATTATAAACAATGAACATTTTCTATTCAACACTTGCTTTTCAGACGAAAGTTCCTTTTTCTTAAATGGCCTAATAAATCGTAATAACTGCCGATATTGGTCCGATTCTAATCCCAGAATTTACCATGAGGTTCATACACAGCAGCCACAAAAATTAAATGTTTGGGCAGGTATTTTTGGCGATCTTTTAGTTGGTCCTTTTTACTTACCTGGAAATTTGACCGGTGAAATGTATTTGGAATTACTGGAAGACGCTATAGATCCTGCATTAACAGTCATAATTGAAAATCAGAATGATCGGCGGTACATTGAGAATTGATTGATGTTCCAACAGGATGGTGCCCCACCACATTACGCATTACGTGTTCGATAATATTTAGATCAGACGTTTCCAGATCGATAGATTGGTAGAAGAGGTGCCATTGAATGGCCCCCAAGATCGCCAGATTTATCACCTTTGGATTTCGTTATTTGGGGTCATTTAAAAAGCAAAATCTATGCTACTCAGCCAACATCATTAGAAGACCTGCTACAAAGAATTGTGAATGAGTGCCTTCAAATTACTCCTCAAATATTGCAAAATGTGCGGCAACGTATTGAATGAAATCTTTATTATTGCATGGAAAGTCATGGTGGCCATTTTCAATATTTACTTGCCTAACGGGTTACTTCGTTCTTCATTTTTAAATTACTTTGCTGTATTGATCTCCACTAATGATGATGTATTAGTTTTATTTAAGCTTTAAATCAATGAATCTTCTAAACTACTGAACTGAAGTACATTAATTTTATATCATTATAAAGGGAATTGAAAGACCTTTAAAATAAGGTATCACTCGACCCCCCTTTCCGTTTTTTTATTAGAGTTTCTAAGCATTGAAGTGGCCATTTTTGAAGGTAAGTTACTGAGACCCCTTTTTGTCCAGAATGATCCCAAAAGCGAAAAAAAAAAGACTTTCAGAAGAAAACAATTTTTGTACTTTTCTTTTTCACACCGCCCGGTAACCCCTTTATCAGGGCGCACCCATATAGAAATTTGGAAGGGGACGTCTGGGGGCGGGGCGCCGCGGTGCCGTGAAAATTGAACAGCAGGAGGAAAAACTACCCTTATGACAGTTGAAGAGGGGAGGGGATAATATTAGTGAATTTTCCGGTGATTATTTGGGGGAACTACCTCCCCTCTCCCGACCCGTGGGTCAGCCACTGCTGTTGCATCCAAAAATCCGAGTTTGAAAATTTATCCCAAGAATGCGAGATACCTAATTTCCTTATTTATTTTTTATAACCCTCATTTTGCCAAACATCAACTGATGTGAGTTTATTCAATCTTGCTATAAAATCGGATAAAACAAACGAGGTCTTACCTGGCTATCGTAATCAGCCTGTTGGAAATCAGCGTTGCCCTGCGTCCGTTTTCCGAACCTGAAAAAAAAAACAACAAAAAATGCATGAAAAATTAGCTTGCTGGGCTGGGAATGACTTTTCGGTGTATTCAAAAGCATCATATCAGTTCATCTGGTGGGAAAAAATCGGACGACTGGAAACCAATCAGACAAAACACACGCCACGGGCAGCGGAAGCAGCTTTACATTTTTTAATCGCGGGGTAGATGAAACTAGAAAGCTACTCGTAAAACCACACGAGGTGTCCAACGTTACAGGTCGGATCACAGCCAAGTAAAACTAGGGGTCGATTTAAATCTGAGCTGTACAGTATCTGTTTGTTTTCCATTTTTATGACTATAACCACCCGTACACATGTTTCATGTTTTTTATCAATCATCAGTACGGTGGAGGTTCGGTCACTCTAACTTATGTAAGTTCTGGCTTTAGGTAATTTTAATAAACATAAAATAATACCAAGTTGCATTTTTTTACCTACTTTACTGTCAGTTGACATATCTATTCGTCATTGTCCGTCAAAGCGGTCCGTGGGACCTTCGCTCTTTGTTAAAGTATCGTGGGTCAGTAGGTCTCTCAGGTCTTGTTGCGCAGATACCAGACGAAGTCAGGGAGAAAGAAAGGAAGAAGAAAGAAATGAAGGGGGAAGAGCAAAGAGGGTGAAGTGCGCCGGTTAAAGGGATGCCTTGCTATTGTTAACAGGTATTCGGTTATTTTAAATAAATCCAAAAATTAATTTAGGAATTTGTGTGTGGCAAAAATTGGTTGGATATACAGGGTGACTTTGAAGTTGAGTCATTAATTTTCAGATAATGATTGTAGAAGGAAGATAAACCAAAATATGTGTGTAAAAATAAAAAGAAAATAAAAAAAAATTGTTACCTTGTTTTATAAAGTATCCTCCCGACAAGTATTTCAGTGCGGACCTGTATTTGATCGTGAGGTCCCCTGTGAGGTCTTAAGTCACCTGATTCACGAGCCCGTTGTACTACATTAACAAAGGCACGAGGGGTTGGTTGCACTCGATTGGGAAACCGATCCGCATAAACATGTGCCATTTTTTATTTCGTTTGAGCCACGCAACAGACACTATTCACACGCGACTGACACTAACTGTATGTATAACTGAACTGAATAAAATAAACATCGTTCCAAATTCTTTCGCTTTTTTGTTTCCGATGCGATGAACCGATAAGGTGGATTATATCCGTTGTTGCCAAACACGAGTACATGATATTATTGAGACAGGGCGGTACTCAAACTTCCAAAGGGCTATAACTTTGTTACTTTAATTTTACCAGAAAAATGGTAAAGGAAAAAAACATTTCTTTTGATCAGATCTACTCACTGTTAAAATAAATGACTCAACTTCGAAGTCACCCTGTAGAATTGCACGAGTTGATTTTGGTCTCAGTGCGAGCCGCGGGCTTGTGTGCTTGCGAACTTGCTCGACTGTGTAGTCTACTGACTTACGCAACAGAGGGTTGCTGTGCGATTCCGCTTGAGTATAACGTAACTGCGCCTGATGTTTGATGTAGTCCCTTAGGTAAGGAATGTAGAGGTCTCTGTGAAGGGTCTCGTTGGAGACATACCATGGTGCGTTAGTGATGGTTCGCATAGTTCTGTTCTGCTAAACCTGCATATTACGCATATGCGTTTCGGCAAGAAAACACCATGCTGCACATGCGTAATTGTTTGTTAACCAAACATAATTTTGAGATTCTACATAGTAAAGGGTAGAGTTGCCGAAACGTAATTTAGAATTTAGTTTTTAACGCTTGAGTGTGATTCTGCCAGGTCATCCCCCTGTCAAGAGTGACACCGATATACTTACCAGAATTTCTCCATGGTATGCGAGCTCCATTCACTGAAACCTCAGGCGGGGCGCCGCTACGTTTTTTAGTGCAATAGATAGCCTGCGTTTTCGAGTAATTAATTTTGATTAGCCACCGATCTGCCCATTCCAGTACCTCAACCACCGCACTTTGTAACCTGTCGTGAACCAGATTCCCGGTACGCGACTGGGCAACCAGTGCAGTCTCTTCAGCATATAGATAGACTTCACAGTCGCTAGGGCAAGGGACATCATGCGGGAAAAGTGAGTAAAGGATTGGCCCTAGAACCGAACCCTGTGGGACGTACTGTCGACAAGAAATTATTAATTTTGATCCGAAGTTTCCTACCTTCAAGGAAGGATTTCAAAAGTTTTAGGAGCCAAAATGGAACGCCCTTTTGAATTAGTTTATAGAGAAGACCCTTGTGCCACTACTTGTCAAATGCATTCGAGACATCCAGAAGCAAGATGTCAGTACTTTCGTTAAGGGTGAACCCCCTGGTTACTCGCTCCACAAGCCTAACCGCCTGTACCTCCGTACTGTGTTCAGACCGAAATCCAAATTGCACGTCAGGAATCATATGGTGATCTGACGAGAAATTCGCAAGGTCACGTAGAATCACCTTTACAGCGAGCTTAGACGGAGCAGACAGCAGGCTGGGACGATAGTCCTGAGAAAATATCGAACCCACCTTCTTTGGAATCATTATAACTTCTGCAATCTTCAGCTGAAGAAAAAAAGAATCTTCTGAGGAAGAATCACTAATGTCGGCACCGGCATCACTGACGCCGTTGGCCCTAAGGTATCTCCTGCCGGATCTTACAATTTGTTGCTCCTCGTCGAGATCATTATCAAGATCATAGTTGGGAGAGAACTGTTGTTCCATAGCATCAGCAAAAACCTCGACCTTGTCCTATGTGCTGAAGACTATGCCCCCAGGACCGTGGATGTGCGGGAGTTGTTCTCGCTTTCCGTCTCTGAGCGAATTCATGGAGAGCATTTCTTACTTCATGAACAAGGTTCGTCGCTCAGAATGGTCAGTTGACATTTATTTATTTTGAAGTTTTCGCTTTAAGATCGTTGGAATATCAACAAGGGGACTGGTTCTTCAATACAGACCTTCTAAGAGTACGATATCGTTGGAATTGAGGAGGAATGGTCTTAGATATCGAAATACTGTCAAGCGCAACTTCTTCGTATGCCAACATGCTGTCATTAAATGCGGAAGGTACACTTTGCCAATGAAAAAATCATTATTTTAGATGACAAAAAGTATTTCACTTTCAGTGATTCTGAAATGAAGGGAAACGACTAATTTTATACGAACAACGTAGGGGAATGCCCTGAAAATGTTAGATACAAATTTACAAATAAAATCCTTGTCTGGTGCGTAATTTCTTACAGGGGTGTATCCCAACCTTTTGTGGGAAGGGTGACGGGTGAAGATTTGAATAGTCAGAGCTACTAGATATATTGATGACAGCATTTCTAAATCGCTTTAGCTGGTACACGAACATCGTGCTAATGACCATATCGTACAACATACCGTTTGTTCCCAAAAACGATAATCCTCAAAACTTGCCACAAGCTCGCCCATTCGGCGATTTTTGTGCTTTACTGTCTATAAAGATTTATCGTGGAGGCTGGGAAGCCAACCTGAACAACGTTGCGTCTGGTAGATCAGAATGGGCCACTCCACCAAATTCGATAGTATAGTTTGGTAAAGTACTGAGTTGTAATTTATAATAACTAGTTAGTGCTTAAATAAACTTCTTCATTAAAAAGAAATTCGATAAGTATTTTGCGCCTACTAATTTTTTGTACAGTCCTCGATGAATATGCTGTAATCTTTTTGACAACAGACAACATTGCAGATTAGACGATTGCTGAACCTACATCAACTGGACTAAATTTTCACTCAGGTTCAGCGACACGTCATTGGCGAACATATCCTGTAAATCTGATTGGAAAATAACAAAAGACAAATTCAGAAAAAAATAGTACAGTCCCAAAAGTAGCGATTATCCACAAGTTTCTTAAAACTGGCGATAGCTCAAAAACCGGGCACAAACGGATAAGTTTTTCTGATTGCAAATAGCCCCACTGTGACTTCCTTTCGTTTGCTCCAGACTTTTGGAACACCCTTTAATAAACAAATGTCCTGATTGCTGTATTCACGCACACCGTGGGTTGAATGTATTATTACTTTTCTGTTACTATTATTTAGAATGTTAACAAGATTCCGCTATTTGTCCCGATTGGGATCAATTACCTTTAAGAACCTCGAAGCTCTGGCAGATAAAACCTAAAATCAGATTTTGCTGACAATTATAATAAATACTCATATTCATCCTTTGCTTATATCATGTAGCGTTACTTTCAGATTGGAACATATCGTGATTTGTTCAACATTGTTTTTCCATAAAAGTGTCTTGATTAAAAGTTTCATAAATTGCAAGCCAAAATTTTAAAATAAACAGTTCAAAAAGATATCTGATACCGGAAATATAACTGACTAACTTTCCATAAGTTGAGTGATTAAATGTGTTAACATTCTGTATTTTTTTAAACATGTTCAATCGGCACGTTGGGTACAATGTTATTAACAAGGAATAAAAAATATCAGAACATGTTCAAATCAATGGCATGCAAGAATATTTTTAGAGGTATGCACAATCAAATAACTAATCAGTGAGGTGAGAGTAAAAACTTCAGTTCCATGCCATGTTGATTTTTTAACAGAATCGAAAATATTTATCGTTTCGCAACGCGCTTAGCAGCAACTGAAATACTGGAGGCTCGTCAGATATTTTCATTTGTTTCTCTCAACTTCCATTTTTTGCATTCATTAAGACGTTTAATTGAATCAGACGCCGACCGACGTTACATTCAATTTACCGGACCATTTAATACACAGAATTTAGAATTTACATTACGAAATTATCAGGAATTTGCGAATCAGAAGTTCCTAACGTAACAGAACTAGATAATAATCAAGAGATAACTTGCAATCAGGAACGGATCCAGGGGAATTCAAAAACTGACATACTCGAAAAGCACTAGAGACTATAGAGTATTTTCCAAATTATGTATTTCACCTCCATAAAATCTTTCAGCAGTTTTGAGAAGAATAATCGTTATTATTTGGCGTTGACATTTTGTTGAGGAATGTAGTCACGTTCTATGGGTATCCGAAATAAGAATAAAATATACTAAGTGACACATAAATCCGAACACCCAGTTTAAATGGTTTTATTTTAATAAAAGTTGGTGAATGTATTTATCTTACTGTAAATAACAAGTGAAACAATTTTCAGCCTCATCAGCTGGACATTCCGGTTTTTATACTGCTTTTTTTTAATTCACTAACGCTCTAAAAATGAATACTTCAGCCGCAGTAAAGAATCAACGTTGGCGGATTTTGGTTCTTGACATCCTTTACGAGCGGCTACGATGCCTAGAGTACGGAGACCTGTACGATTTCGTCAACTTAGTGAGTTTGATAGGGGGACTTTCTTTTCGGGCAATTGCAGTTAGAGTGCAAAGAAGTGTAGACACTGTGGTTAGGTGTTGTCAGGCATGGCTTCGAGAAGGCCGTACACAAAGAGCAAGGGGCACTGGACGCCGCCGTAGAACAACAGACCGTGAAGATCGCCGCCTAAGATTATTGGCCTTAACGGACCGCTTCTCCACTACCAGGTCCATTGCAAATGAATGGTTTGCAGAACACGGAAGACCTATTGGCATGCGAAGTGTTTACCGACGAATGAGAAGTTTTGGCTTGTTTTCATACCGGCCACACTGGGTCCTCCCTTTAACTCGAGAACGCCGACGTAATCGCCTTGAGTGGTGCAAACAACGGTCACTCTGGGATTTTGTTTAGGCATGCACGATGGTCGTGCCAGGATTAGAAGGTGACGTGGTGAAAGGAGGAATCCACAGTTTTTTGTTGAAAGACATGTTGATCACACTGTTGGAGTTATGGTTTGGGGTGCTATAGCTTATGGTTCCAGGTTACCTTTAATCTTCATCAGAGGTAACATGAACGCGCAGCGTTATATCCACGAAGTTCTAGAACCCCATCTTTTACCCTATCTTGACACCCTGGCAGATCCAATTTTCCAACAAGATAATGCCCGACCACATATTGCAAGAGTCACAATAGACTTCTTTCAACATAATGATGTCACATTGTTACCATGGCCACCAAGATCTCCCGACTTATCCCCAATTGAGCAAGTGTGGGATATGATGGGTAGGAGATTGCTCAATTTGCAACGTCCTCCTCAGACTCTAGAAGCACTTCGAGAGGAGTTGGTGGTTGCCTGGAATGAGATACCACAGGAGGACATTGACCACCTGATCAGAAGCATGCCTAGGCGCGTTGGAGAATGCGTAGCACATCAGGGTGCATCCACACATTATTAAAGGTCAAAGGGCTTTAAAGCAGTGCAATCATTTTGAAATTTTTATCATTTACTTATTATGCTTCATTAAGTACTTATACAAAATTTTATTAAAATAAAACCATTTAAACTGGGTGTTCGGATTTATATGTCACTTAGTATATCATTGGCTAATTTCTTCGACGGGAGGTACTGAAGATTTAAACTTTTTATAGTGATAGTGATAGGATAGTGATAGTGATAGCGACGGCGATAGTGATAGTGATAGTTATAGTTATAGTTATAGTTATAGTTATAGTTATAGTTATAGTTATAGTTATAGTTATAGTTATAGTTATAGTTATAGTTATAGTTATAGTTATAGTTATAGTTATAGTTATAGTTATAGTTATAGTTATAGTTATAGTTATAGTTATAGTTATAGTTTACAGTTATAGTTATAGTTATAGTTATAGTTATAGTTATAGTTATATAGTTATAATTATAGTGATAATGATAGTGATAGTGATAGTAATCGTCACCGTGATACTAATATTATTGATAGCGATAGTGACAGTGATAGAGACAGTAACATTGATAGTGAAAAATAATCGTGAAAAAAATTGAATAATCATTTTCCATGTTTCAACCGCACATCGCTTGGACTGTGGATAAATTTTGACAAACACTGAAACCATACACCAGAAATCATTGTAGCCTTAGAAATCATATTCATAATATAATCTCGCAGGATTGAACTTTTCTCTCTTTCTGAAATACGTGGATGAATAACAACTCCCTTATAATTTAATTTCTTAATTGGATATATGCACACACAAACTCCATGAGTCCATTTGAATTGGGTCATGGTTCCAGAGACGGAAAGCAAGCATGTTCATTTAAACATTGGATGAGAATGAATTTTAATATGAAATATACAATTTTATTTAGATAGAGAATACCCCGTTATAATGGCCTTCAGGCTGACGCTATAGTTCATTGGATAAAGGAGGAACAGTAGCAAATCTATATTCTTTATTGGAAACGATATATCATAGTTTACTTTATTTTCAAATATTCTATCAATGGAGAGATAGAGCGTGAAAAGTACGGACGTCGGACTCGTGGGAAATCAAAGCAACGTGCTTATAAACTTATCCGTTCCGCGATGATCGCCAAGTTTAAAGTGATATCATTAAGAATTTATTGGTAGCGAAACTAAGAGCTTCATATTTCATGATCATGTTAGGTTTCTTATAGCATGGCAGTCGATTGCAAACAGTCGTCCCTGATTTAATAACGTGGAGTAATGCATCCCTAAGCTAGATTAAAGTACATTACGCTCATTGAAAAAAACCGATATAGTGTCACTATTTAAGTTACGTAACACGGAAGCCGGTAAGAGAGGACTTAATGCCAAAACTAGTGGTTTCCATCGGTGGATGAAATGCGGCAGCTCTCGATATTTCTGAGACTTGTCGAAATGATGTAGTATTCTGTCGTTAAGTATCTCACCTGGGTCTTGCTCTGTCCGCGTACAGCTTGTCAAGTTCTTGTATCCGCATGATCGCTCTCTGAACCACTTTAGGCCTGCCATCCATTGACGAGACACTTCGCAAACTACCTAACACCAGCATGAGTTAGTCTAGGACAACGATATAACATAAGGCGATCGAAAACATACAGATTGCGATTCGGATCAAGACAAGAATAATAATAAACTCTCCCGGCTTGGAAAGAGGGGCTAGCATTTTTTCAATAGAAAAAATCTAATACTCCTGGCCTATTCCGAATATGAATTTCCAGTGTATGCAGCCTGTCTAAGGAGCTTCAATTGTCTTTTATTGCCAGATCGTTAGACTGAATATATAGAAAAAATGTAATCTTAGAGTACTGTCAAAGATTAAGGTGTTTTTTTTTCAGAAGTTGTGATTTTCACATGACTGAAATCATCTGAGAATATGTTAAAGAATGATAATCTGGATCGTGTCCTGTCACCTTTTGGTTCACTGCTTTAATCCCCTCAGTCTTGAATCATTACAAAAAACATATTTTCGCTCCGACAAACTTTTTCTCATTTATCGTATCATTTTGAACTAGAAAGGTTCTTAGCAACTTGTCTCTAAAGTTAGTCGTTTCCGAGCTATAGGCATTTAATATCTGAAAAACCAAGCAAAAGGAGAATTGACAAGAGGACATCTATACCTTTAAGTGCAGCAACAACTGCCAAAATAAGGAACATAGTGTATGATTATTATAAACCTAATGAAATCCCAACAGTAGAGACGGTACGAGGGATGTCTTTTAAGTTTTGTTGACGCATTCAAAAATGCCGTTTTGTATCTGCCAGCAAACAAGTGGAATAAGTGCTTCGAAAATTGGTTCGAGCGCGTGCAGATCTGTATTAATCTTCATGGAGAATACTTCGAAAGACAATAAAGTCATTTAAAACTACCTACCGTGTTGTTTTATTTCCATATGCAAAACTTAAAAGACATCAAAGATTGATGAAAGGTGGCGAGAGTTGTTCCCTGCGGATTCGAAACCTATAACAATCGACGTTAGTTACTTCAACAACTTGATTAAGTCATCTCTCATCTCATCCAGACTTGCAAGAGAAAATGTTTGAAAATTTGCAGATCCGTCTCTGTCCTCATGCCTCGGTTTTATAGCCGTTTTATGGCTATCGGCAAAAAATGTAAACTACTCTAAAAGCGATGTCGTCTACTATACCAATGAGACCCAAGTAACGAGTTAACTAATGTTAAAATCACAACTTCAGAATAAATGAATCACCCTAGACTCGCTAAACTGTGGGAAACTAAAAATTGAGAATTAAGACATATGGCTTTCATATCGGAAATAGTGTTGAATCACATCATCTAGATTCTTTCTATACTGGCAAGAGCCGCAGTTAGCCAACATATTTCAGTCACTTTTCGATCGCCTTGTAGATATCATCCTCCTGAACCAGACATACGGTATTACAGTAGCGCTAAGTGCGATCATCTGACAGTTCGGAAATATGTTTGACGAAATAATAGAAAGAACATCACTGAGGCTCATGCATCATTTGAAGGAAATTTCACTGAACGTTAATTAGTCGTACATCTGGTTAGGAGGACTAATAATAGAAAAATTTAGGCATAAAGATATTAGAACCGACTGTTAAATCTTAAAAAGTCAGTGATTGAGAAATAAGCATGGTGATGTTCTGTGTATTATTACGTCAATCAAATCCTACCTTAGGGATGGTTAGGGAATGCGCTTCTATATCTTTATACCATATACCATACTATTTAATATAAAAAAGACGCACACAAATAAAAATAAAGGCCATAGATGTATAGATATTTGTTTGAATAGCTTGGTAAGTGATGTATGTTTTGGCACAAAACTCATTGGCTTTGATTTTAACAAACACAAGATAATATCAAGTCGCCTTTGGAAACAAAAGATTGTTTACTCACTTTACTGTAAGTTGACATTTATTTATTTTGAAGTTTTCGCGTTAAGATGTGGTATAAATTAGAAATAAGAAAAAGTAATAGTGGAGTGCGCGCAGGGAATACAATCTCCAAAAAAATGGAAGACCACGTGCATTTACTGCACAGAGTTCGGAGAGATTGGTGAGAAGAGCAAACTACGCACGAATAAATGAAATATGTACTGACATTTCAAAGTAGGTTATTATCCTTCACACCATTATCCAATCATTTACCTAATTATAAACACCTTCTCTTTAAGATATGTGATACAAATCTGAAATGCAATAGATTCATTGATTTAGTATTCAGGAATTTTTCTATATCCTTGCTATTAACTGAACTATATATCAAAGCTTCACATGATATACAGGATATTTCCTAATTGATTGCCAATATTTAAGGGGGCGATTTTTGGATCCCTTTTGTCTTAAGAAACGCATAGTTTTGCATTTTTTTTTTCAAACGAAATCAGATACGTGTCAAACGACTTCCGATTCGGTTTTACCGACACAAAATACGTGGCAGTGAACCGCAATTAATGCATTTCAATGTTTAATTACCATTTATCGGCGCATTGGTTTTGTGAGTTACCGTTGGCCCAGAGAAAGCGACGTATTGTTATAGCGAACAAATGATAATCACCTTTTTTCTTCTGATAATAGTGGTTGACCCTGAGAAGGGCCGTGTGTTTGTTCATGAGATTTTTTTAAGCTTTATTCTCCGTCTTTTTCGGCTGGATAGTATGAAGAAGTCCTCTTTGAGCGATGGTGAAGTCGACGTCCATCAGAATAATATAACAAAATCTAAGCCAGATTATAGGCTTTAAAAAAGTCGGGAAATCGGAAAAATCTACACCCTGTGATATCACTCAAAACTCGAAAACGGACAACTTCAGAATAAAATTACCGATAACCCTTTGTTAAATCAAAACGTATCTATATTTTTAAATGCAAATCTAGTGTATTATCCCGGAAGAGTTAGCACGTAAATGCTTTAGTCTGACACCGAAGAAAAAGACCTCTAATTAATTCTCTGCTGTAATTACATTTGACAAGTCTGGGGTTAGACGATAGAGAAACGAAATCCGTCACTGCCAAGCACAGCCAATTAACTCCAAGATAGAGATGTATTTGTCGGAAAGGGCAAAAACAGCACGAAAAAAGATGAGACACGCATGTGGTCCAGCGCTTCCATTACATAATGAACCAACTCTGAAAAACAGTCTAATGTAATTGTAAATAACGGCTCAGCAGTTAAAGGATAGGTTTGTCTTACTTCCCTTGGAACTTTTATTGGCCCCTAGAATACTGTTTTTATTGGAGCAATGCATCCCGAACTGCACCGCTGCTATCACATTGTCTGAAACTCAAAGTGTAAATAGCAGCCTAGGTGTCTACCATGGCGTAGTAGAGAAAAAGATGCGAACGGCTGCGATTTTTGTCGCTAGCGAATTAAAAAATATTGATCTGATATTCCGTATTCTTGAATCTTGATTATGGATCGCTGATGCCAGAAACCACACCTCTTGTCGCTAAGAATGCCGCGACGCTCGAGATAGTCCAGAAGCTCGCGATTTATGCACCTCATAACAGAAAGCAGAACTGTACGCCTGTAAGTGTAAGTTTGGGTCTTAGATCCTTTTTTTTTTGGATGGATTGGAGATGAGCAAATTTCCAGTATTCTGGAAAGGTACCGGAATCGGAAGATGTTCCATCCTGATACGTAACTGGTGACAGTGTGAAGTTCCGTTCAATCTGCTTGGCCAGCGTCCAGAAAGACCGACTGCCATTGTTTTGGAACATTTTCGGATTTTGATGAAATATTGTCACAATTTTATACTATGCCAAGGACGAAAAAGGCTTTGTAGCTTTTTGAAATTCTGGGGCGTCTGATTATTTGCTTAAAATAAATTGTCTAAGCTAAAAAATGGGGATTGTGGGTGAGGGAAGATATATCTCCTTTATTTGGCGTTAGGACATTTAAATGCGTCCAGCATTGGTGATTCTATATATGTACATAATAGGCATCTTTCACGCATCATAGATTTCCCTGTACATTACTTTAACCTGAATGATAGAAAAATATTTTCAATACACGTATCTCCTTATATACCTGTGTTGCGGTCTGACCGATGGGTGACTGCCGGGTGGCAAGGTTAGTCATAGCAACGTTACTAGATGGTCGGTACTGTCGGTAGGGCAAGGGAGCAATTTCTAGATCGCATCGTTGCCAAATGAGTGGGGACTATGAACTAATTGTCTTGGAATGTTTGACTGACTTGACCCATGTACATTTTTTGTTATACATGTTCGTTGCATGGGAAATGCAAGGTCAACCATTTTAACGCAATTTTTTATGAAGTAAGGCTTATTAATAATCATGTATGTAAATGATGCTCCACGTTACAGCTTAAGCGTTGTTTGCACGTAAAGCATACTTCAGATACTATCGAATCAATAACAAACTGCAGGCAAAGCTCTAATCTCTACGCCTCCAGCCTTATCGACATAATTGTTCACAGATCTCTGCTGACTACAAAGGGGACATAATGTACGGATTTTTTCCAACTGCCTATGCTGCAGGAATGCTTTGAAATTTCAGGTAATTGCTGCTTTGTGCTATCACGATGACGTCGCTTGAATGCTGCTTTGTGTAGCATCAGAGATGCAATAGCATCTCTGAGTTAATTTTGGATGTGGCTTCAGGCAAATTTTCGCGTTAATTACATAAGATAAACTATAATTTGGATTTATGTGAATGAAATTAATACCTAATTTATGAATAATAACCTGGCTTGGTGATCTCACCCCATGTGTCTTTGTTATGTAGAGATAATTTGACATATGTGTGGCTCAAAAGGTCGTTGGAGCTATATGACAGTAAATAATCATCAAATAAATTCATTTCTTATCGATATCACTATGCATTATATATATATATATACGAGGTATGTCTTTTAAGTTTTGCATATGGAAATATATATTCTCCAAGAAGATTAATACACATCTACATGCGCTCGAACCAATTTTCGAAGCACTTATTCCACTCGTTTGCTGGCAGATCCAAAACGGCATTCTTGAATGCGTCAACTGCATTGAGGTCTTTGAGATCTTCAAGGACGCCCCAATCTCG